TATGATTTATCTTTAAATTTTTCTGTGTTAAGGATCTATGTAAAGTTCTATGTGAGCTCTAAGGCCCTTTATTTTCGGGACAGTTAGTCTGTGTCTAAGTGTAAGTGATAAGATCATATAGAGTTAATGAAAATTTCCCTTATATGGTTATATATGGTATCATTGGATGTAGGTGTTTTTTACACTGTAATTGGCTTTGATAGAACATTTTTATACTTATGTATACCATGTATGTGATGGATTTTTCTGTTCTTCTCTCATAAAATATATCTCAACCATAGCCGCCCCTCTCTCCTCTCCTCTCCTCTCAGTCCACTGTCCTCCTTCCCCTCTCTACCAGATCCACTGCTGCTCTATTTCTCTTCATAAAAGAACATATCTCCCAGTGATAGCAACAAAACACAGCATAACAAGATACAATAGATTATATATAAACACTCCTTGATGACGTAATTCAGTAGGAGAAAATGGATCACACAAGAAGGCAAAAGACTCAGACACACCCACTCATCTTGTTAGGAGTCACACAAAAACCCCAATCTACACAAACATTACATGTATGCAGAGGGCCTAGCAAAGACTCATACAGGCTCCATGATTGCCACTTCTGTCTCTATGAGCGTCTATGAGCTCTGTTTTGTTCTGTGGACCATGTTTCCTAATATCCTTGACCTTTTATGTCTCCTATATTCATGAAACAGATTTTGAAAGTGTGCTTCATATTAACTGTCTATGAAAGTACATATGTGTATCAGCCTTGTTGTTCCTGAAAGACACTATCTCCTTGAAATCAATCATCTGGTCTTATAAATCCTCAACCCCATTCTGTGTATACATTCAAAGCAAGTTGTCACACTTAGAAGCATGCTTAAAATGTTCCCTCAGAAGAACTTAAGAACATATTGTCATTAGCTTAAATGAAGAAATGCCCAGCAAGTTAATTTAATGACTTTTGTACTAAATATGACTCAAAAGTCAGGGTGTATTCATTATAGAAAAAGATTGTAATGAGTTTGTTTCCTCTTTGAGGACTTTAGGGCAGCTATCTTCTTGCTCTATACATGAATACAGATGAGTTGCTTTATTTTGAGCACAGAAACGTTTTAGGCATCTGGTAATTTCTTACAAACTCTAGCTACCTACATCATGCCTTTACTCAAACTACATGGCAAGCTTTTTGTATATTTTTTTCTGATTATATAGGAATATTACTCTGATATAGGACCCTCTGTCCCAAGAAACCAACAAGAATATCATTTTTAAATTAATCAAACCTACTGCAAATATTCTTATAGCACCATCTTGTAATTTCAGAATAGATACAAGGACTCATGCCTTAGATCCACTCTTTATTATTAACCCACTTATATAGATTGGAAGGTAAATATACTGTTTGGGAATCAGAGTATGACAACAATGCTCACCATATAAAAATGCTACTCGTGGCTGTCTTTCTAGGTTTACTATAATGAAAATTGACTTTATAGCATATATTTTAAATGTATGCTTTGTGTCCTCAAATGTACTTTACCAAGTTAAAACTTCTATTTTTCATTTAAAATTTAGATCAAATAAGAAAATATAACACTACAATTTTGTCGTAGGCCTATTACAGAATAGATACTCAATATATATGTTAAACTATAAATCATAGTTTCATATTCTATACAAACAATTCAAGATGTTCAGCATTAAAAGTGACATTTAGTCACTTATAAAGATAGATTTAAAAAACAGGAAGCAGTCTGTGTGGTTCACAATGGTTTGGAACATACGATGTACCTCAGCAAGCCTTAACTTTGTATTCCTTACTTCTGAATATTAGGGTCACAACAATATAAGAAGAAGCCATTATTATTCTTATTATATTTGTTCTAGCAATGTGTGACATTTGGTAATTCATTTAACTTACCAATGTGTTTATTCAACTATTTCAGATTCCCTTGAAATTAAGTAAGGATCTGCTTCTTTCTCCAGAAAAACCGATAGTCCTGAAAGTTACATCAAGAGAAGGGGCCATAAATAATTAGGCTGATTTTGTTTTTAAGTTCTGATATATTCTTTACATAATGCACTGTAAATACCTGAGATTTTAATTTACCTAGAAGGAAATATAGATGACTATGACTTTAATCTACTGTACTTTGTTAGTTGAATATACAGAGTCTTCAAATATTTTTAATTGTCTTGATAGAATCTTGATTATTAAGTGTGAAAGGAAAATTATTGCTCAGTAATGTATACGTTCTCTCATATCAAAAGTTGTCCATTTTTCCAGAGATTGCACAATGTTTCATTTCTATACTGATTAAAGTTTTCTTATCAATATTGTCAATGTTGTTTCATTGTAGAATCTTTAATTTCCCATTTATGGCTGAGAATTTTATTGACAACTATCTTAACTAGATGTGACTTTAAAGATTTTTAAAGATTTACTCACTGTGGTTCAGGGATGGTCAGTTTTCTTCCTATGTTCCAGGATGGGGTCTTGAACTTTCTGTATAACTCAGAAGGTTTTAAACAAGTAATCCTCAAAAGTGTGCATATTGATTTCTTAGATTACAGGCATGTGGTGTCACACACAAAATACATTATTGTTCTTTATTTTAAAATTCATTTTACATCCTGATTGCTGTCCTACTCCTATCACCTCTTCCAGAGTCCCTAACCCCTACCCACTCCCCTTCTTCTCTGAAAGAGTGAAGGCCCCTCCCCAGGTTTCCCCTCACCTGTGAACATTAAGTCTTTTCTGGGCTAGGGCTAGGTGCTTCTCCCACTGAGGCCAGAAAAGAGCAGAGTTATGGAAACTGCTCCCACAGACAGACAACAGATTTAGGGATAGCCCCTGTTCTAGTTGTTTGAGACCAGCATACAGATTGAGTTGAAAATCTGCCATATATGTACATGCGGGTCTAGGTCCTGCCTGTGTATGCTTTTTTGTTGGTAGTTCAGTCACTGAGAGTTTCCAAGAATACAGGTTAGTTAACCATATTGGTCTTCCTGTGGAGTTCCTACACCCTACAGAATCCTCAATCCTCCCCCTAACTCTTCCATAAGAGTCCCCAAGCTCTATCAAATGCTTAGCTATGGATGTTTGTATCTGTCTGAGTCAGTTTCAGAATAGAGCCTCTAAGAGAACAGCCATGGTAGGCTCCTGTCTGCAAGTATAACAGAGTATCATTAACAGTAGGAGGGACTGGTGCTTGCTCAAAGGATGGGTCTCTAGTTGGGCCAACTAGTGCTTGGCCATTCACTCAGTCTCTGAACCATCCCCCATTCTTACATTTTTTTTGTAGGCAGAATACCATTAGGATCAAAAGTTTTGTGGATGGATTGGTGTCCCTATTGCTCCATTGGGGATCCTACCTGCCTATAGGAGATGGCCTTTTCAGGTTTCATATTCCCAAAGCTATGAGACACAACTAAGTACACTCCCGTTGAATCTTGGGAGCTTCCCCATCCATAGGTTTCTGGCACATTCTCAAAGCACCCTGATCCCCTCTTCCTACAGATTGAAGATTTCCATTCATTCTCATGACCATCTGGCCATCTCCCCTCTCTCTACCTGTAGGGGGAGGAACTGATACTAAAATCTGGTTCCTTAATTTGTTCTTTATTATGTCAATTAAGATGGTGGAAATCAATTCCTGGACAAGGGAAAGGGAACTTCTGTATCCTAGGAAGAAGAGAGGGACACAGGGAGAGAGGAAGTTTCTTTGGACCAGCCTTTAAAATGAGTAAGACACAACTGCCATGTAAGGTCTTAGGGAACATTGACCCTGCAGCCTCCACCACTGGCAGGGCATGAAGTAGTTGGTGGGAGCACAGTGATAAGGTTATGACAGGAGAGTCTTTGCCCAGCCATTGTGTTATCTGGATAGTTTTCAAATGATAAAACTGTCTAGTATTTTACATCTTCGGGACTAAGTTTTACAGAAGGAAAAAGAAAGAATCTGGGGCAGTTGTTGGTAGATTGGAGCACAATCTAGGTAGCACAGACTAGGTGGAGCGGGATCTCAGACCGAAGCCAAGAGAGCCCAGGCAAAGGAGTAACCGTGTTTTTAAAATTACATGAAATGTCTAGCTACACCTAATCTTGAAATTCCTCGATTGTCTTCACCATACCACCTCCCATTAAGTTACCTAACTCCATTTGCCTCCTACAACAAATTTATTTCCCCTTATAAGTGACATTCAAGCATCCACACTTGGGCCTTCCTTCTTGTTTAGATTCTTTGGGTCTGTGTAGTGTAGTGTGTGTATCCTGCATATTATGACGAATAGCCACTTATAAGTGAGTACACACTACACATGTCCTTTGACTCCAGCTTACCTCACTCAGGATATTTTCTAGTGCCATTCATTTGCCCACAAAATTGATGATGTCTTTGTTTTTAATAGCTAAATTGGGTTATTGGGTTGTTGGTATCTGCCATCTTGAGTTTTTTTTTTTTTTATTTTGGATATTAGCCCTATGTCAGATGTAGGGTTGATGAAGATCCTTTCCCAATCTGTAGACTGCTATTTTGTCCTATGGACAGTACCCCTTGCCTTACAGATGCTTTTCAGTTTCATGAGATACCATTTAACAGTTGTTGATCTTAGAACTTGAGCCATTGATATTCTGTTCATTGTCTAGTGTATCAATGCATTAAAAGATATTTCCCACTTTCTCTTCTATGAGATTCAGGGTATCTGGTTTTAAGTTGACTTCCTTGATCCACTTGGACTTGAGCATTGTGCAGGGTGATAAATCTGGATCTATATTCATTCTTCTACATATAAACATTCAGTTAGACCAGCACAATTTGTTGAAGATACTTTCTTTTTTCTTTGTGTGGTTTTGCCTTCTTTGTCAAAAACCAAGTATTCACACATATGTCAATTTTTTTCAGACTCTTTATTGCATTTATAAACTTGTCTTTTTCTTACCAATACCATGCAGATTTTTTTCCCTATTGCTATGTAGTACAGCTGGAGTTCACCTCCAGAACTGCCTTTATTGTTCAGGATTGTTTTAGCTCTCCTAGATTTGTTGTTTTTCCATAAGGAGTTGAGAATTGCTCTGTCCAGGTCTGAAAAGAATTATCTTTAAATTTTGATTAACAATTGTATGGAATCTATAAATTTCTTATGATAAGATGGTCATTTTCACTATGTTATTCCTACAGACCCAAGATTTGGGGGGATCTTTCCAACTTCTGATATTTTCCTCAATTACTTTCTTCAGTACCTTGAAGTTCTTGTATAGGTATTTTGCTTGCTTGGTTAGACTTACATCAAGGTATTTTATATTCTTTGTGGCAATTGCAAAGGATGTTGTTTTCCTAATTTCATTCTTGGCCAATTTCTCAATTGTATAAAGAAGGGCTAGTGATATTTTTAGTTGATTGTGTATCCAGCCACATTGCAGAAGGTGTTTATCAACTGTAGGAGGTCTATGGTAGAATGTTGGTGTTCCTTATGTATGCTATCATATCATCTGCAAATAGTGATTCTTTGTTTTATTATTCTCCTAGACCTTCAAGCACTATATTCTTATGTTGTCTCTAATTTTAATTGAATTGCTTTAAGTTTCTCTTCATTTAATTTGATGTTGGATAATGGTTTGCTGAATATTGCTTTTACTGTGTTTAAGCATATGCTTAGTATCACTCATCTTTCTAAGACTATTAACATAAAGGAGTGTTTGATTTATATAGTGGATTACATTGATGGATTTTTATATACTGAGCCATTACTCCTTCCCTGGGATGAAGCTTACTCGATCATGGTGGCTTATGTTTTTGATATGTACCTGGATTTGATTTGGAAGTATTTTATTGAATAGTTTTGCATCAATATTCATAAGAGAAATTGATTTGAAATTCTCTTTCTGTGATTATTTTTTGTGTGGTTTATGTATCACAATGACTGTGGCTTCATAGAATGCAGTTAGCAGTATTCCTTCTGTTTCTAATTTGTGTAATAATTTGAGGAGCACTGGTATTAACTCTTCTTTGTAAGTCTTTTTGAATTCTCTGCTAAAACCACCTGGCACTGACTTTTTTTTAGTTGGGAGATTTTAAATGAATGCTTCTACTTCCTTAGGGGTTATAGAGCTGTTTAAATCATTTACCTGATTTTCATTTAACTTTGGTAAGTGATGTCTTTTTAGAAAACTTTTCATTAAAAATTTTCAATTTTGTAGATTACAAACTTTTGAAGTAAGACCTAATGATTCTTTGAGTTTCCTCACTGCCTGTTCTTATGTTTCTCTTTTCATTTCTTTTTTTTTCACAGAATTTTTTTATTGGATATTTTATTTACATTTCATATGTTATCCCCTTACCCCATCCCCCACCCACCCGGGAACCTTCCATTCCCTTACCCCTCCTCCTTCTTCTCCGTGGATGTAACCCCCACCTACCCCCCCCACCCCCACTTTCCCACCCTCAAAATTCCCACACCCTGGGGCATCCAGCCTTCATGAGGTCAAGGATCTCATCTTCCACTTGTGCCCGGCAGGGCCCTCCACTCTTACATATTCAGCTGAAGCCCTGGATCCCTCCATAAGTGCTCCCAGGATGGTGGTTAGGACCCTGGGAGCTGTGATTGTTGGTATTGTTGCTCTCCTCATGGTGCCACAAACCCTTTCAGCTCCTTCAGTCCTCACTCCAACTCCTCCATTGAGAACCTCATGATCAGTTCAATGGCTAGTTGTGAGCATCTGCCTCTGAATATGTCAGACTCTTGAAGGCCTCTGAGAAGACTTCCATATCAGGCCCTTATCAGCATGCACTTCCTGACTTCCACATCAGCATCTACCTTTGGTGACTGCACATGGGATGGATACTCAGGTGGAAAGGTCTTCAAATGGCCCCTCCTTCAGTTTCTGTCCCTCATTTTGTCTCCATATTTGCTCCCTTGAGTATTTTGTTGCTCCTTCTAAGAAGAACTGAATCACCTCCACTTGGTCTTCCTTTTTTATGAGCTTCAGGTGGCCTGTGAGTTGCATCTTGGGCATTTCAAGGTTCTGGGCTAATATCCAATAATCAGTGAGTGAATACCATGTGTGTTCTTTTGTGATTGGCTTACCTCACTCAGGATGATAATTTCTAGTTCCATCCATTTACCTAGGAACCTCTCAAATTCATTGTTTTTAATAGCTGAGTAATACTCCATTGTGTAAATATACCACATTTTTTGAATCCATTCCTCAGTTGAAGGACATCTGGGTTCTTTCCAG